AGGGAGGGAGGGAGGGAGGGAGGGAGGGAGGGAGGGAGGGAAGAAAATAAATAAATGACCCTTCACTGACTGGCCAAGTCCCTATTTGAAACCATCAGTGAACATAGATCTTTGAACTAAAACCTTCATTATGAACTCTTCTAGACATGTCAGTATGCCACTAGTTTAGCCCAAACTACAGAACATTCACAACTTAAATGAGAAAAAAAAAAATCTAACTTTAAATGTATACTATGAATTTCTGATTTTGATTCTCAATTCAGTTATTCAGTATAATGGAAAACTGTCCACTTTCCAAATGTCTGAACATGTGTTTCCTTCAATAGTCAACTTCAGAAGATAACAGCCTTTCTTAATTGGATAAAATTCAGACCCTAGATGTTTATCTAAGATGATTTTAGTATCAGTTCTATGTTGTCTGCCTATGATGTCTTCAGAAAAATCCCTGTTTGCTCCATATAGTACTGGGCTACAATAACAACCATTAATGTTCCCAGCCACATATGTTAGTGTATGCCTGCAATACCAGCACAGACAAGCTCAAGGTCAGCCTGGGCTATATAAGGACTTATGGGGATCCTGGGCTATGTAGTAAGATCCTGCTCCAAAAATTGACAAAAAAAAAAAAAAAAAAATATCAAAACCACTTAGGAGGAAACTGGAGATGAACGAAAATCTGTTAGTAGAATGGCTAATATGAAAAAAGACTGGGCTTGATCGTCATCATCACATAAACTGGGTGTGGCGGACTCCAGCATGTGAGGTGGAGGTAGGAGGACCAGAAGCTCAGGTGGACTGTAGGTAGGCCAGCCTGGTATACTTGAAACAAAACACTTGGGGACACACCATTAAATCTGACTTAGACAGTGAATTCTATGCAGATCTTCTGTTCTGTGGGAATAAACTAGAATCGAAAGCACCTTTTTCCTAAAAGACTAGTCCACTTGCTGATTTCTAACCTCTAAAAAACGAAGAGGGGAACATGCATGAGGTTTTAAATTTCTTAAAGACACCGATTTGACAATTTTCTTATTTGTTTTCTGCCCTTTGCTCATCCTTGTCTTTTAACTACTTTTCTTACATTGGAAATTTGTCTAATCAATTCTTTCTGAAAAGAGAAACCAAACCAAACAAAAAAGAGAAAAAAAAAGCCCATTTGGTTTATTACCATATAAAGGGTGCCTTTTATCTTCTCAGAGAAAATTTTGTATCTCCAGTTGCAGTAGATCTCAAATGGTCACCTTGCTTGGAAAATTCTACTGGAATGTTTTTTAAAAATAGCATCTCACTATGTAGCCCTGGCTGATCTGGAACTCACTCCATAGATCAGAATGGCCTCAAACTCAGAGAACATGCTAGGGCTAAAGGCACGTAGCAGTACACAGAGCCAAATACATCCTTGTTTATTTTCTGGACAGAAATTCATTTTGTACCCTGGTCAATCTCAATCCTCTTGCCTCCACCTCCCAAATGATACTAGAACACGCCATCACACCTGGCTGAATGTTATTTACATACTCCGCAATTACAGATTATATTTTCCCATGTAGCTTCTGAAATAGGACAAATGGTTTATGCCATAAAGATACACTGCCAAAGCATCTGACTGTATTAGCAACACCCACTTTCAAAGTCACTACAACAGCTCAGATCACACACTTCAAATTACTTTTTAGATGACTCTTGTATAAATCAATTTTCAAAGATAAACAAACAAGCACTCTAAAACAATTACTCAGAAAACCTAGAAAGATGTTTCCCTTTATAAGCCCTCCATCACACTGGGAGCTTTCAGTCTGTCATAATCAGATTCGTTTCTGTTTGCAGGAAAGAATATGTATCTTTTTCTTTTATTGTGTGTTTATTAAAATCAAAAAGCATTGACTAAGTTCCCCAGAAGAAATTCTATTTTCTTTCCCAGAAATAATCAGGTATCAAGCTTAAGGAAGCTCATTTCCAAATTTCATTATCTTTATTACGTAGTAACTAACATATCTCACACTGGATTATTTTAGAAATCCACAAAAGTTTATCCTTTCGTATCTCAAGTAAGTACCAAACTGAAACTATATCAAATTTAAGGAAACAAAAGGCTTGGAAGCAACTTAATTTTTGAGATCACCTTGCCTCTGCAGGCACTCAGGAGGCAGAGGCAGGCAAAGCTCTGAGCTTGAATCAGCCTGGCCAGCCAAAGTAGCATAGTGAGACTCTTAAAAAATAACATCTTAGGGACAGGTGGACCGTGTAGAATAGGGAGATATATCGCTAGCCCCAAAAGCAGTGATATCTGAGGCAAAAGACCAGAAAGAAAACCAACTATAATTACCTAATTTTTTAAAGCATGACAATTTATCAAAGCTAAAACTGGGGAAAAAATTAAAAGCATTCATGAGGGGTTGATAGGAACTAGAGATCTATTAGATGGCATTACTATAGAGCCTCACTGTACCTCCTGTTATTTGAATTTTATCTATTCTCCAATAACATTCCCTGACAGGACAAATAAAAAAAAAAATTTCTCACCTTTGCTAATCACTATTACAAAGAATAGTTTTCTACTAAATTGATACTGTTCAAAGCTTTTTGAGAAACACACACAAATAATTTGGATTTAGTTGATTTTATTTACAACTTTTTTTTTACATTTCAATGCATTATACAATTACATTTCTCATTTTCTGACCTGCAAACAGATTACCTTAAATGGAAAATGCTTCTTAAAAACTATCAAATTAGGTACATCCAAAATGCAACAATTATACATGACATTAATTCACAAAGTGTAAATTGCTAGGGCCTATCCTAAGAATTTAGGAACAGCCAGTCAAGAGAAATCTGACTGAAGTTTCACTCAACTATTTATATACTCCAAATAAAACCTATCTAAACTTCCCAACCAAATATCTGAAAGTTTGTTTTACAACCTCACTGGACAAGAGAGTGGTGACTCAAACTTGTCTAGTCTTAATAGTTTTAATTCCAAATACTGGGCAATGTGTATAGCCTGGTCTATAACTAAACAGCAAGCATCCCAATTTGTCATAGCAAGCATCTCTGTTTCTCAAATACCTAATATCAAACTTTTATACCCTTATGTGCATAGAAAGTCTAAGTGTTCACTAAATAAAACAAGTAATCATTGAATATCCACTGTTCCCCAAGCTCCAGCCCTTACTAAAACCCCAAATATGCAACCCATGTCACATGGTGACAGACAATAGTTTATAAAATGTGTATGTATGTGTATACATGTATATGCATACATATACATACACACACAATAGCTATAAATGGAAATTAACAGTCCCTGCAAAAATTGTTTCATTTGAGGCTATGGCTTTTAAGCCTTAGGATGGTTTTAGATTTCAAAACTGGAAAATATTCCTAAAATCCTACTTCTTTAAAAGAAAATTTGAAGCATGTTTCAGTTTTAAGCTTCTTAGTCTAAAAATGGCTATATATTACATATAAAAAGCCAACTGAGTGCAATTTCTCTCCAGTTTGGCCAGGCTAGCTGGTGGAAATGATTCCTAACTAGCCAGGGATCTGCAGCAGCTCCAGTGGTTCTCGCCTACCTTACTGTCCATGTTCACGTTTCAAATTGTGTCAACAAAGCCCGCACTTCAGGGCTCAGCTGTTTAGCAGCCTTCGCTGCCTCTGTGATAGCCCTGCGATACAGACCCTTTCTCTTCTTATTAAACCGTAACTGGAAGTTTTCTAGAAAGGGGGAGAGTTGTGAGAGAGCAAGGGAAGATGTTGTTGGAGATGCAAACCATGAAATACGGGCCTCCTGCCTGGCTAAAAGGCCGTTATCTTTCCGGCTCACAGTTATGGTAAGAATACGGGCTGGCCACCATGGGAAGCCATATATCTTGGCCCAAACAATGTCCCCTACACATATGGTCCTGCCATCTGGTGTGATACATTTAGAGACATTTTTGGAAAAGATTTTCATTTTCAAGGAATTACTGAGGCTTTCCTCTTCCTTTGAAGAGGAGGAAGTAGAAGTAGAAGAGGCAGAAGGTACGTGCCTACAGCCTGGAGGAAAAATAAAGCTCTCAGAAGAGCTACACTCAGAGTTGGAGGATTTCAAATCATCCATGCTATCAATGCTACACACTGAAGCACTGGAAGAGTCTGATTTCTCTTGATTTAGGGTCAGGTAAACAGATATACTGCTTCTGCTGCCTTTTTTGCCCAACGTCCACAGTTCCTCCTGCTCACCAGGCACATGCACTCTGCTTGTGTCCTGAACCTCACTGGCGGGCTCTTCCGGGCCTTCTGAGGGACTCTGTTTTTCTGAAGGGGCCTCACCTGCTGAGCGGGTGGAGGTGCATCGAGACTGCGGCTTAGGGGCCAGCTTGCCACTCCGAATTTTCTCCAGTCCCGTCTTCAGAGAAGAGTCATTTTCTTCGTTTCTGTACCTTTGTGGTTTTAAACGCACTCGAGGTGGGAGAGACCCTGAGCTAGGATTCTGATACCGACGTGTGAAATGGACTTTCGAGTGTGCGTTTTTGGAAGTGGAGGTTTCACTTTGCTTCTTCTGTGCCTTTTCTTTGGCAATTTTCAAAACTTCCCGAGCTTTTGCGTGATCCATGTTCTTGCTCTGGAGCACTTTCTTGGTATTTAACTGAGCTTTTGATGTATTTGCCTGAGCAGAAACCTTGACTACTCTGCCTCTGCTGTGAGTGATACTGGAAACCCTCACCACAGCGTTCCTTCTCTGGCTTTCGTTTTGGTTTTTCCCATCCACTTTATGGTCAGTTTTCAGTTTTTTGTTCACAGTAGCTACACTGTCATTTCTCCGTTTTTTATCTTCATACCTAGAAGAGTCACTGCTACCTTTCCTAATTTCCTTCTTTTCTGCAACAACACTGCTTTTACACTTATCACACAGGACTTGCCTGGGCCGTAGCTTAATTGCGTTCATTATTGAAGTGGGTTCTTCCCTGTACATTTTTCGTTTGGGTCGCTTAATTTTCCGAGGAGGTGGTTGAGGTATTGATTGGTTATATGTGTCCCTGATAAACAAGGGGGGAGGATAAGGTGCTCCTTCGTGGAAGAGAGGAGGTGGTTTGGAAGTCCACAGGCGCTCAGGAGGAGGGACTGGAGAAAGGTCATCGGGAACAGCACCATTCACTTCCCGCTTGACTTCTATCCCTTCTTGGAATGTGTTACTTTGGAGCTGCATGGCGTCCGGTTTGTCCTTATATTCCCTTTTGGGAAATACTGTCACAGGGATCCCATGGGGCCCAAACCTTTGAAGGAAATGGAAGAACAAAAGGAAGCTAGTGAGTTGGTATCTGTAACTCAACATCCTAAATGTAAACAACTTCATACGCACCTATATGACAAGAATCTAAAATATACTACTGCTATCTCCCAAGTATCAACAATCTCCACCTCTTTTGGTTCTATATTTTAGAGAAAACTAGAAATAACCCAAATAAATGGTTATCCTAGACAATGCCAGACTAACCGGCTTTACTTAAAATGGATCTTTCTGTTATCAGACATTAATATGAGGTGCCCTGTGGTATTATACCCACTGAACCATGTATATTTTCCAGTAAATGTACCCATATATTAGATGTAATCATTTTCCTCTGGTCATAACATCGCTTGAAAGCTTAATAAAAGGCAGGGTGGTAGGACCTGCCTGTAATCTCTGCACTCAAGGCTAAGGCATGAAGACCTCAAGCTCCAGGTCAGTTTGAACAGCACAGAATTTAGATGTTCAAATTAATTTCCAATGCTGACAGCCAGAGCTGTGTGGTTTCAAAGTTTGTTTTTATTACTTTGTATATACTGGGGTTTGGCTCCATGAATATCATCTATGTACACCATGAGTACAGTGCCTTCAGAAGCCAGAAGAGAATCCCCAGGGCCAGAGTTACAGACTCTTGTGATCTGCTATGTTGGTGCTGGGGACTGAACCCAGTTCGAGACGTACCCCTAACCACTGACTTATTCCTTCAGTATCCCTGAGTTTCACTTTTTAAAATCACATACTACATTCAGAAAGCATTTCAGCTGGGCAAAGTAGCATATATCTGCAGTGGCAGTACCCAGGAGAGTGTGACAAAGGAATCCAAGGTCAAAGCCAACTTGTATAACACAGCCAAGGCCTCTTGTCTCAAAGAGAAAAAGCAAAGAAAAGAATAAAGGAAAAGCAGTATTTTCAAGCGTAATCCAATTTAAAACCAGTTATATAGCCAGTATGCATGTACAGATAGATCCCAGCTTCAGTAGGAAGGGGAATGAGCAGAAAATAAGAACTATTTCTCAGACAAACCTGGAAATGTAACTGGCTTAATGTAAGTTGGTTGAAATAAAGAAACTTTCAGTTAAATTAGCTGTATTCATTGCCTTTGCATGAAAACAAAACCATATTCCAACTATCTCAGTGTAAGTCATCATGCTTATTTTAAAAAACACCGAGACAGCAGCATCTAGCACAAGACAATGCTAATACCAGTCTTATAAGGCAAAGTTACAGAGAACCCATAATCAGCAGCAGGCTATCAGGTCATATAGAACCCTATACATTAGATGAATGTGTTTTCTATACATCAATGTTTGCAAAGAACAAGTTTTTGGGTTTTTTGCTCATTTTTCTGTGGTTTACGTTCTTGTCTTCTTAAATGTTCTCCAAAAGGTTCAAAAATAACTTGTTAAAAATAAATCTTTGGCCAGTTGTGGTAGCTCATGCCTTTAATCTTAGCAATCAGGAGGCAGAGACAGGAGAATCTTTGTGAGTTCAAGGCTAGCCTGATCTACATATCAAGTTCTAGGACAGCCAAGACTATATAGAGAGATCCTGTATCCAAAAACAAAAAACAAAAAACAAAAAAAAAATACAAACAAAAAGATAGGATTCTCTCAGGATCCTCTCTAAAAACTAATAAATCTTTAGGCTGGAAATTTTAAGACATAATAATCTTGATAATTTTGTTTACTTCTTGAAATCATGTTTCGCTATGTATTCTAGGCTAGCTTAGAAATTGCTATGTAGTACAAGCTAGCCTTAAACTCAAATCCTCCTGCCTCTGCTTCACAAATGCTGGGATGATCGGCATGTCCCTCCACACCCAGTCAATCTACAGTGAAGTTCTCAGAGCTCTTATGAAGTGTAATTTTAGTTTTGCATGTATAAAATAAAACAAAGTTAGTTAGTTAGTTCCAGGCTCAAGGATTCAGGTAATCCTCAACAAACTCATCAACAAATATTAGGCATAAATTTCCCTTCATTTAAATAGTTTGACTTTACTTACATCTAGACTGAATTATTAAAAATGTTTAAATTTATTTTAACTAGAGGGTGGAGGCAATGCACATATGCATGTTGGTGTCTGAGGAGGATGGGTATCAGTACCCTGGAGCTGGAGCACCAGAAAGCTTTAAGCAGCCTAACGTGAGCTTTAAGCAGCCTAACGTGAGCTTTAAGGAACCAAACTCAGGACCTCTGGAACAGCTAAGTGTTCTTAATCACTGAAAAACCTCCCCGACTCCCAAAATATTTAAATAATTACAAAATTACCTCAAAAGACCAGAAAAATAAAACACTTTACAAAAAGCGGGGTTACACATTCTCACTCATCTCGGTCAGCCTGTTGCCACCTCACCTGGACAGTGAGGCACCAGTTATGAAACCAATTTCAACCGTTATACGATGATTAAATCAACACCCCAGTGTCTAAAAACAGTGAGAGGAATACTCATAACTACAGTTATCTGTTTCATGTATGTGTAGATAACCAAATATGAGTATTTCTTTTTGGGATATGAAGCAGAATGATTAGGAATTCAAGGTCAGTCTCAATATACCTGAGGCCCCCTTCTGCACACAGACACATACATATTTTTAACTAAATTTAAGTTTGAAAGCCATAAGACACCAAAACATTAGCTTGCAGCACTAAGCTAGGCAGTGGCACATACTTGTAGTCCCAGGTATCAAGGCTGGGGCCAGCCTGGAACACACAGTGAGATACTGGGTTGATAAGCAAAGGACTGGGTATATTGTGTAGGGCCCTGGCCTCATGTTTGATCCCCAGCACTGCCAAAGAAAAAAAAAGCAGCAACATGATCACAATCTTTTTAAAATCTAATTTTTCAAGTTCTGTCAATGAAAATCTTCATCACAATCCCCTGGAGGACTTGAAAACAGAATCCCGCTCTGTGCCATGGCACTGAATCTTAAGTCTTCCCTAAATACAAGTATAATCTGAACTGTGCATGAGCACGGTTACTTAGGTTTTTCGAAATGCAGACATTTATGTCTCACATCAATGCTCAACAAGGAACAATCTCAGCAGAGGGAAAGGAGCGAGGGTGCAAAGGAAAAGTGGAATGGAATCCTCTTGAAGAACTGCTTGCAAATGCTCCAATAACTAGGTGGTATGCTGAGTGTCTTCTCCATGTGTGGCACAGCACTTAGACATTGGTGACTCATTCTAACCCATCCCATCTTTAGTCTTTAATTACCACAGAAAGATTCTGACAGGGGCACAGCTGAGTGGCAGAGTATGTGCTAGGCTCAAGGGATTCAATCTTTGGCTCAAAAAACAAGTCTGCCAGACATGATGGTTCATGGTGAGCTGAGATAGGAGAATCTAGATTCCAAGACATCTTAGGCTATATTGCAAATTTCTATCACCACCACCACCACCACCACCACACATACACAGGGCATAGGTTAGAGCTCACGGCTTGCCTGGACATGCCTGGCATAGATCCCCAGCACTACACAAAATAAGTAAATAAAATTAATTTGTGAGGGCAAAGCAGATAAAGACCCAAGAGACCTCTATACTAACTTTGCACTTCTTGTGGCTACAATTATTTTCAAATTGTTTTCAAAACTAATTCTTTTGAACAAGCAGCAAGTACCAAAGTTAAAAGAGGAAATGAACATTGGTGTTTAACACTTTTTTTTGGTCAGGACTAGAGACATCAGTGAAGAAACAGTCTAGGAGTTTAGGGATGTAGCTCAGTTAGTAGAAGACTTCTGTAGTATGATCAAAGCATTGGGTTCAAGTCCCAGCAATGCAAATGCTGGGCATGGTGAAACGTACCTGTCTTACACTAATAACCCTAGCATACTTGGGAAGTGAAGGCAGGAGGGTCCAAAGTTCATAAAAGACTCTGTGGAATGGAATAAACCAATAAGCAAACCAATAAGCAAACAAATTCCTATCACTTCTGGGAGTAAATGACAGTGTCAAAGTGACATGAACTGTGAATGGCAGTGCACCAGTTACCCTAAACTAGGTCAGGAAGATCTTCTGGGGTCTGAGTGGGCTATATGTCGAGACCCTGTCTCCAAAATCCAAAAGCAGGAAATGGTTTATTTCATTCTAGGTTTTGGATCCCATTTAAGACAGGGGTATTATTCATGATTTTGCTCACAATTTTTAGTATTGCTAATCAATCATATACTTTAAATACACATTGCTTCCTGGGTTAAGCTCAGAAACATAATCCAAATTACTTTCCAGGAGAATACTTGAAACCTAACTTTAATGTTTACTAACAACTATCTACTTTAAGCCAGGTATATTTCTGGTTTTATTTTTGTAATTTTGATTTTTGTTTTTTAAGGCTGAATCTTGTACCCCAAGTTTACCTGGAACTCACCATGGAGCTCACGCTGGCTTTTAACACATGGACTTCTCAGTGCTGAATGTATCACACCTGGTTCCTCTTGTATTTCTAATTTGGAAAGTTCAGTTTATTCCTTTTAATGATTGCAGTGTAGATTTGCATGAACTTACCAGCACTCTCAATCAACTCATTTCTGACCTCAAACTAATTATTTTTCCTCTGTTTAGAGCACTTCAGCAGAGTACAACTAATTTTCCATTGCTCCACTACAATTCTTTTTGCCAAGAAGTAAATGTAGGAAGGGATTTGTTTAAAAGTTATACACAAAAACACAAAAATGCAAAGGTATTATAATCTAGAGGCAAGCATAGGAGTTGGAAGAAACTAATCACTCAGAGAAAAGCTCAAGAGAGGTGAAATAGGTTCAAGTACTCTGGATGTACCAAACTACCCTTTCAGCAAAGAGCTCAACAGAAGGCAAAAATGAAGTCCCATCCTACACCAGGAAAAAAAAAAAAAAATGTTTAACCACTTGGAAAATACTATCCAGATTTATTTTATTTCAGGCAGATGTGTTCAGATACTACCTCTCCAGGTACTGAGAAGATAGCTCAGTCAGTAAACTAAAACTGCAGAACCATGAGGACCTGAGTTCAATCTTTAGCTCCACAGAAAACACTGGGTGTGATGGCATGTATATAATCCAAACTCAGGAGGAGGTGGTAGATCCCTGGAGTTTGTCGACCTGCTGACCTAGCCTAATCAGTGAGTCTTGGATCCAGTGAAACCCTGTCTCAAAAGACAAGATAGGAAAAAAAGAAAAATATAATAAAGACAAGGACAACAGCTCCTGAGGGTGACCTAAGGGTGACCTCTGGCCCCAACACATATGCACCTACACACACACACACACACACACCAGTCTTAAAATCAGTGACAGATTAGGTTATAAAGACAGGAAAGTGTGAAGCAAGCTTATTTTGCTTCACAGTTCTTTGTAATATTTTGGTTAGGCCAATATTTAATAAGGACAAATGAAATTAATTCAATAGCACCTAAATACAACAGAAAATTTTACAACAAAATTGCATCCATTCCCTTTAAAACAGAATTACCAGTTAGAAATAGAAACACATGCCTGAATCCTAGGATTTAGGAAGTTACATGAACCCTGTCTCAAAAGACAAAAACACGACACTATAAATCATGTCACTTCACTACATCATGTAGGCCTCAAGGAGGTACTCAAGTCCACCTATAGGATGTTCTTAAGTACAGCAGCCTCCCATAACTAGGTGACTTTCCAGTTTTTGTGGCCCATATAATAATTTTGTTACAGTATATTTTCCTAGTTATCATAAATCTTTACTTTCTCAAATTCAAAACTTTATGTTAATATATTGATTATAATTTTAGGCTAGACATGGTGCACATGCTTATAATCAAATCCCAAAATTTGTGAGGTAGAATCAAGAGGATCAGGCTGGTGTTGGAGGAATGGCTAAGTGGTTAAGAGCATTATTGCTCTTCTAAGAGGACCTGAATCTGAGTCTCAACTCCCATGTTAAGTGACTCACAACCTTCCATTAACTACAGCTCCAGGAGCTCCTACAGCTCTGGCCTCAGTGGGCACCTACCCACAGAGCAACACACAACTACAGGATTAAAAACTAGAGATGGGGGCTCGAGGGTCACAAGGCAATGGCAGCACAGCAGCTGGACAAGTGAGTACTGAGCAAGCTGGAGTCAGGGAGCATGGGGGTGGACGGCACCATCAGGCTGCTGAAACAGCAAGTGCAGAAGTTACTACCGAGTACAACCAATGGAAGCTGCAGTACAGGCTGGATGTGGAAAAACAGATGGACAGACACCAAGAGTAGCTGCTGCACAATGGCAGAATCAGATATGCCAGATGAGGTCAACGTTGATGAACTGTTGGAATTAGATAGTCAAGAGGAAAGATGCAGAATCCAGGGACTCTTGGAGCATTACACAAATCCCACAGAGGACATCATCCAGGAGCTGCTGTCCAAGCTGCAAAGCCTGCATAAGCAGCTGCAGCCCAGCCTCTCAGATGACCACAGACTGAGTTCCTGCAAGGGACTGCCCTACCTGCCTTTTCCCTGCACCCCTCTACTCCCAACCCCCACAAATTAATGGCTCTGTAATAGTGCTATTTGTATTTAATGGTTGTGTAACAGAAACACACACACAAGTTGGCTACATGAGCTCAAGACCAGCTTGTGTTACTTAGATTCCATCTCTACATCAGCAGCAGCAGTAGTAATAATAATAATAATTTTTAACCCTAAGTAACCTTTACTCTCCAGAGAAGTCTAGGAAATAGAAAATGATAACCTAGCACATTTTAGAATTCTGTGCATCATCTCAGTTTGCTGAGATATGCATTTCAGTATTATCTCAGTTTCCTCACAGACCAACTTTACAGTGTAGCAAGTGTTTATCAACAAATCCAAAGGTCTTTAGATTCTTTGTAAAAATGAAATGCAAGGAACATACAGCTTTGAACTGATATTCAAAAATTAACATTTTAGCATTTGTATGTTTAATAAATATCTGCTACCTAATACAGTATGAAATTAAGTTATCAATATTAAAAAGATTTATGAAAACCACTTGTAGGATCACTGTGAAATGTAATTAGCACTGAAATGTTTGAATTAATAATTAGAAGGACTAAGTGTAACTCAGTGATGAGGCCCAATATACTTGTGGCCCTGTTTATCAACATCTCCCAAAACGTAAGTGCTTTATTTAGAACTACATCTACAAACTTCATGATTTTTAAAATGAGAGTACCTAAAACATATAGTTTGTAGATAACATCTCACTATGTAACCTAAGCCTACTTTGAATTCATGATTCTCCTGCCTCAGAAGTACTGGAATTACAGGCACATGTCACCTAAAACTCTGTGCTGTTAAAGTAGCGAATAATTACTAGTTAGTGCCCCAAACAGAATAAAGCTGATTAAGTTACACTCAATAGTGACAACTATGAAGACAAACCAATTTTATTTAACTTCAAATTAGCTATTTACCAAAGGGTTTTAAATCACATAAACTTGAAAGACTTTTGGGTCACTACCCCAAAACAACAAAACAAACCTAAGTGTACAGAGGAAAAAAAGCCAATTTATATGGGCTTCAGTTTCAGACATCCACAGAGTGGCTGAGTAATAATGGCCCCATAGGCTCATATAAGTATGGCCTATAAGTGTGTGGGCTTTGAGGTTTCAAAAGCCCATTGGTCTCCCCATGACTCTCTGCCTGCTGATCTGGATGTAGCTTTCGGCTACTATTCCAGCACATAACTGCATGCCCCATGCTGATAATGGACTAAACCTCTGAAACTGTAAGCAAGACTCTTTCATAACAGTTGCCTTGGTCACTGCATAACAGAACACCAAGATATAAGTTGATACCCAGGGCCTGGAGTACTGCTGTGACAGGTCTGATCATGCTGTTTGTTGGGAAAATAGGTAAAACTTTGGGACTTTAGACTACAACACCAGGTTGAATGCTCTGAGTGGGGAAGAAGTATGGAAGGTAGTAGTGCTTACAATGACTTGAACCGTGGGGACCAGTAACAAAGTTTCAGAGGGAAAGAATATTAATGAGCAGCCTGGAGACCACTCTTGTGCTATTTTGGCAATAAATGTGGCTGCTTTTTGTCCTTGTTCTGAAAAATCTGCCTGACACTACATTGAAGAGTTTTGGATTAATAGCACTGGCAAAGGAGATTTCAAGACAGCCTAACATTGACTGTGTCATGTGGTTATTAGTAATCACTTACACAGACCTACAATGAAAAGAACACTTGCAGTAAGGAGAAAATACAAAAGGCACAGCTTGAGAAGAAAAGAAACACGAGGATATGTTTTGTTGGCTAAGTCTTATGCTCCAGGAAATAAAAAGTTTGAAGACAAACCTGATGTTAAATGGAATAAAGGACAGGGTGGAAACCTCAGGGCAAGATCACCCCACCCCAAGCTAAGCTTCCAACCTGTTAAAAAAAAATTAAAAGGAAAGCTTAGGCAGTGAAGAGACTCATCAACAGAAAGCTGAATATAAATGTCACTGGGCCAAGTTCCAGCCCCAGCAAGCAGCAGAACTTGACAGCTTTGGCCATAGCCACATGGCCACTTCACAGCCTTTACCAAGATGCAAGGAGTTTGTAGAATTTCCTTTTTGACTCATAAAAGTTACTGAGGTCAGAATATGTTAGGGGTATCCCAGCATGGAAGCTCAGAGAAGCTATTACATGGAGCTGTGAATATGAAGCATGGATTGTGTTTGGAGTCCCAAAGATGTGGGAAATGTCAGAGTCTTGGGATAGCTGCAGACCAGAACCATTCTTTCTACAGTATGGAACCTGACCAAGAGGAGTGTGTTGCAGTCAACTAGCTGAAAGGAGCTGGAAATCTTAAGAGCATTTTGACATCAGACATGGAGATGTAAAATTTGTGGAGCTTGCCCTGCTGGTTTTTGGTCTTGCCTTGGTTCACTATGCTCTTTCCTCTTTTGAAATGGTAATTTATATTCTGTGCCACTGTATGATGGAAGTATGTGATGTACCTTTTGATTTTGATCTTATAGGGGATTAGAGTTAAGAGATCGCCATGAGTCTCAAAAGAGAACTTGGACTTTTAAACAGTGTTGAGATTGTAATAGACTATGGGAACTTTAAAAGTTGGACTAAATGCATCTGTGCATTGATAGGACTGGCTACAAAAGCCTGAGTACCAAGGAGTGGAATGTGGAAGTTTGAATGAGAATGGGCCCCATAGTCTCATATGGATATGGCTTTCAGAAGTACCTAAGAAACTGGGGAACTTAAAAAATATCCCCCATAGACAGAGAGGATTATTCTATTTAAATACCTAGAAATAAAAAACAAGCAGAAACAGAGTAGACATGGGACTTGCCAGGCAGGGCCAGGGGAAGGTATCTGCTGTCTAGCAAGTTTTAATTTGCAAGATGGGAATAAGGCTCCAAAAATGTAAACATACTTAACATCATTCAACTGCACACCCAATGGTTAAGATGCTAAACTCTGTATGCAATCTTTACATTAAAAAAAAAAAAAAAAAAATTTGAAACCAGGTTGGTGGCTCAATTAGTACTCAGGCATGTGAAGCAGGACTGCCATAGTCTGATCTAAATAGTGAATTCCAGGCCAGACTTGCCTGTAAGTATGAGACTTGATGTCACAGAACAGAACAAGAGCAGAGAATGTACTCCGCTGGCAGAGTGCTTACCTAGCCGGCACGAAGCCCTGGGCTTGTTCCTCAGCACAGCAAGTATCAAGTATGTTGGTGCATACCTGTAACACCACTTAAGAAATGGCGGCAGAGGTATCAGTTCAAGGTCATTTCTACTAGTCAGTAATTTCAAAGATGCCCCTGGCTATATGAGACCCTATGAGACACACCCCCTATCTCAAAAAGCAAACAAATGAAACAGATACATGTAGTATCTATCTACCCAGTTATAGGAAATACAGTGAAAACTATTACATTTGTAATTATTAGTGTATGGAAAATAATGATTTCTCAGTGGGAAAAAAACCAAGGTAGCATGTGGTTGCTGTAAGTGTGGAACTCTGAAAACACTTCTTTATACCTCCCAGAAGTAAATCCGACACACTCAAGTTGAGAAACAGTCCCTATGATTTATGGATCAGATTGCAACTAAATATACAATGATGATTGGGAGGATGGAATAAAGGAATAAAGGAAACAAGCTTTTTTTTTTTTTTTTTTTTTCCCGGCAGCGGGTGGGGGGAATTGTTGGTTTCAAGACAATATTTCTCTATGTAACAGCCCTAGAAGTCCTGGAACTTGCTTTCTAGACTAGGGTTACCTCAACACCTTAGGGTACCTTACAGAGACCTACCTGCCTCTGCCTCCCAAGTGTTGGGATTATAAGTGTGTACCACCATGCCCTGCTGTAAAGTTAATTTTAAAAAATGAAAGGTGATAGCATACTTGTTATTAGAGAGGCTTCATCAGCAACTGATGGGAGCAGATGCCAGTACCCACAGCAAACCATTAAGTGGAGTTGGGGGAATTAAAGTGGGAGAGGAAGAACTGCAGGAGCCAAAGGGCTCAAGGACACCACAGGACAACAGCCCACAGTATCAACTGACCAGGGTCACAGAGGCTCACAAAGACTAAACCTGTAATCAGGGCACCTTCATGGGCCTGCCCTGGGCCCTG